GACTCGAGGGCGGCGGCGTCGGCCGCGTCGAGCGCGACGCGCGGGGCGCCGCGCGCGAGCAGCGCGCGCCACGCGCGCGCGAGCGTCCCGCGCCGCCGCCGCGCGGCCCAGCGCGCGAGGCACTTGCGCAGGTGGCGCGAGAGCGCCGCGGCGCGGCTCCGCGCGGCGTCCGCGGCCGCGGCCGCGAAGCAGGCGCCGCGGCGCCAGGCCCGGAGCGCGCGGCCGAGGCGCGCGCGCCGCCGCCGCGACCGCGCCGCCGCCGCCGCGCGGCGCCGCCGGTCCGCGTGCAGCCACCGGCGCCACGCGCGCGCGACGGGCCGCGACACCCAGCGCGCGAGCATGCCGAGCGTCCAGCGCGTGACCTCGACCTGCCGCGCCTCGCCGGCCCAGTCGCGCGACACCGCGGTGAGCTCCTCGGCGAGCGCGGCCGCGGCGCCCCAGCCGGTGCGCTCGCCTACCGAATGCGTCGGTGACATTCCAGGTCAAAATCTCTCGGGAATCGTCACGGCGGCAGGACGCCGCCGCTCGCGGATCGCGCGCCGCGTCCTCCGCAGCGGCGTCGCGCGGCGGTCGTCGCGGCGCGCCGCGTGCCGCCGGGGCTGCGTGCCGTCGTCGTCGTCGCGCTCGCGCCGCTCCTGCGCCTCGCCGAGGTAGTAGGACGAGCCGAGGTCGAGCGCCGCGCGGGCCCACGCGCGGCGCGCGACGCCGTCGACGCCGCGCGGCGCCGCGGACGCGCGGCGCCAGGCGCGGAAGGCGGCGCCGACCGCGCGGTTCGCGCGCCGCGCGACGACGCGCCGCGCCGCCGCGCCGCGGGTTGCGCGCGCGGCCTCGCGGACCGCGAGGTCCTCGGCCGCGGCCGCGCGCCACCGCGACACCGCGGACGCGGCGAGGTGGCGGCCGACGAGCCAGTCGAGGCGCGCGGCGCCGACGCAGGCGCAGCGCACGGCCTTGCGGAGCACGGCCTGGACGACGCGGAGCCGCCGCGCGCACCGCGACAGCTCCGACGCGTCGGCCCGCGACGACCGGTCGGCCGCGTCGTCGGAGCCGTCGCATAAGGACGGCAGCGCGAGGCCGTCGCCGCCCGCCTGCCGGTCCTCCATGAGGCCGTGCACGAGCTCCAGGAACTCGCGGTTCTGCGACGCCATGCGCGCGTTCTCCTCCTGCAGCAGCGCCACCTCGCTCCGCAGCGTCCCGACCTCGGCGCGGAGCCCGGCCCGCAGCGGCGGCCGCTTCGCGGGCGGCTCGAAGGGCCGCGCGAAGCGCGCCATGGCTTAGGTGGAGAGCTCTCGCGTCACGGAAGGCCGAAGCAGTCGTAGAGCACGGCGCGCCGCGTTGCGCCTCGCATCGTCGGCGCTCTCTAGCAGCCCCATCTCACAAAGGCCACCCGAGAGAAACGTTTGAGCAACGTGCAGTACATCTGTACTGCACGTCCCAGCTTGAAGCTCACTCGTGAGAGCTGGACCTGCGCCTCGACGCGTGGCAAGCGCCCGCCAGCGCGCGCTCGACGACGAGCGCTTTGCACCGACCCAGCATCGACCCGCACGACTTCGATGGAAGCGCTCGCGAAGGTGGCGGTGGCGGTCGCCGTGCCCGTGGCCCTCTACACCTTCTTCCTCAAGCAGTCCGGCGGCGGCGA